GGAATATGTTTAAGAAAAACGTATTTAGAAAAAGTGATAGACAAATTTTTTTTACAAAAAGAAAAATGTATTTACTATTTAAAGTAACACTATTTCCATTAAATGAATTTTCATGAAGTAATTTTAAAATTTCATATTATAGTCCGGTAAGGTAGAGAGGAACAGTTCTAAAAAGCACAAAACAAAACAAGTTAAAAAATAAAACTAAAAACAGTGAAAGAAAAAAAGAGGAAGGAAGGAAAAGAGAAAGATAAAAGAAAATAAGACATAAAGCTAGGGGCTTAAGAGAGAAGAAAAAATGGAGAGGAACCTATAAATAGTTAGGTTGAACCACATAAAATGTAAATCACTTAGGTTGCAACCTGAATAAGTTTTTTGAACATCCCACTACCTCCTCAGCAAGGAACTATTCACAGATCTGCAACTGTTTTTAGTAATGCATCAAGCTTTGAAGAAACAAGTAAGCCACAATCTTCATGGCACTCATCATGATGAGTGTCAAGGGCCCAAACACATGAAGAGGGTTGCTAGTGAGCTGCAACTTTCCTCATTTCAGACCATTCACCAAACCTGTTGGCACCAAGTTAAATGTTTTAATCACAAAACACCCATACTCTCAGTGGTGAATCAAGCCAGTCTTCTTTTATTTTTATCTAGTCAGTGGAGTGCTAGAAAGCCAGGATTAGGATGCATGGAATTTATATTGCTGGCTGTCTTCAACTGTTGCATTCCCAGTTATAACTCTGCCTTACTTGCCAAACTACTGAGTACAGTGTCTAAGAAGCAAGCAGACCAAATCCAAGGCTCATCTCAATGACTCTGATGTGCTTCTCTCCACCACTGATTCACCCTCCTGAACCAGGAGTTAAGAGGTGGGATAGCCCATGAAATTTAGGGTAGCACATAACAGTGAACAGGACCCAGCGAGTTCTAAACTTCCTAAAACCCCACATCCAAAGTACTCAAACAACAAAGTCAGCCACAGAGCAAAAAATAATACCCATCCCTGAGTCAGGACACACTTAGTATCTTGACTTGAGTGAAGCCTGTACATAATATTGGATCATTTGAAAATGAAAAATACTTTCAATTTTATCCCATTATTTCCTATCTGGGTAGTATTGATCTGGCCACCACTTAGTATAACCCGGACTCTCCACCTTTTTTAACAAGAAGAAAAAATACTCATTTCCCTCAGTAACTGATAACAATAGAGTTGTGGGATATAATTGAAAGTGAAATAGCCAAGTTTCCAAGAAAGATATGCATGTGAGGAAGAATACAAAGAGGAAATATGGCGTTACTACAGACTCTATGCCCTCCCCGTTAGGGTTCCCAGCAAACTGCAGAGGAAGGGTATGTTCCATCAAACAAATAAATCCACCCAATAAGATGTTTCTTGAGGCAAGTACTATAGTGGAATCTTGGTATATAAAATGAATTAAGTTAACCTCAATGCATTCACAATCTTTAGGGACATAATAATACACATCAGATTTTAGTGAGTGTTATGATGAAGATGCTGAAGTAAGTACGGAAGAAACACAAACTGGGGAAGGAGCAGAATTCTGACTTTAGGTGGATGATAAAAGCAGGGAAAGGTGGAATCATGGAAAGCATCACAGATTGCAAGGTATCAGAGAGAGAGATGTTACAGAATACACAGAAATTTGTTAAAGGAAAAGAAGACAAGGAGCATTTTAGTCAATGTGGGTCAAAAAAGGAAAAATGAACAGCCTGCACAAAAAAAAAAGTAAGAAGAGATGATAAAACACAATGTCTTTAGGAAGCCAAGAGTACTCTAACATGGCTGAGGCAAGGCACTGGCAAAGGGAGAAGCGAGCGAAGTTCACATGGAGCCCAAAGAAAAGGGCCTCAGACAAGAAGCTGGACTTTATTCTGAAAGCCAGAGAGAGACATTGATGGTGTTTGAATAAAGGGTGACAAGAACAGATCAATATTTTAAAAAGATAAATTTGGTGATGATGTGAAAGCTGGATTATTGGGGAATGGAGACAAAGTGATCAGGTACAAAATTATTACAAAAGGGAGTCTCTGAAATCATTAGATCTATTAATTATAAATCCTGACACACACACACCCATCCACCTAGGTAACATTGTTTTATGCACCTAAGAATAAATAAATACATACCGTATTTGCCGGCGTATAAGACGATTTTTTGGCCCTGAAAAATATGCCTCCAAGTGGGGGGTCGTCTTATACGCCAGGTACACTTCAG